TGGAGAAAAAGAGAAAGGTTAAGAGAGTGGTGAAGCAATGTAAAAAGAGAGCAAATGAGAGAGTGGGTGAGATGTTATCAACAAATTTTGTTGAAAATAAGAAAAAGCTTTGGAGTGAGATTAACAAGTTAAGAAAGCCTAGAGAACAAATGGATTTGTCAGTTAAAAATAGGAGAGGAGAGTTATTAAATGGAGAGTTAGAGGTATTGGGAAGATGGAAGGAATATTTTGAGGAATTGTTAAATGTTGATGAAGATAGGGAAGTTGTGATTTCGTGTATAGGGCAAGGAGGAATAACATCTTGTAGGAGTGAGGAAGAGCCAATTGTGAGTGTGGGGGAAGTTCGTGAGGCAGTAGGTAAAATGAAAGGGGGTAAGGTAGCCGGGATTGATGGGATAAAGATAGAAATGTTAAAAGCAGGTGGGGATATAGTTTTGGAGTGGTTGGTGCAATTATTTAATAAATGTATGGAAGAGGGTAAGGTACCTAGGGATTGGCAGAGAGCATGCATAGTTCCTTTGTATAAAGGCAAAGGGGATAAAAGAGAGTGCAAAAATTATAGGGGGTAAGTCTGCTGAGTATACCTGGTAAAGTGTATGGTAGAGTTATTATTGAAAGAATTAAGAGTAAGACGGAGAATAGGATAGCAGATGAACAAGGAGGCTTTAGGAAAGGTAGGGGGTGTGTGGACCAGGTGTTTACAGTGAAACATATAAGTGAACAGTATTTAGATAAGGCTAAAGAGGTCTTTGTGGCATTTATGGATTTGGAAAAGGTGTATGACAGGGTGGATAGGGGGGCAATGTGGCAGATGTTGCAAGTGTATGGTGTAGGAGGTAGGTTACTGAAAGCAGTGAAGAGTTTTTACGAGGATAGTGAGGCTCAAGTTAAAGTATGTAGGAAAGAGGGAAATTATTTCCCAGTAAAAGTAGGCCTTAGACAAGGATGTGTGATGTCACCTGGAGTTTACCTGGAGAGAGTTTCGGGGGTCAACGCCCCCGCGGCCCGGTCTGTGACCAGGCCTCCTGGTGGATCAGCGCCTGGAGGCGCTGGAGGTTGTTTAATATATTTATTGATGGGGTTGTAAGAGAAGTAAATGCGAGGGTCTTGACAAGAGGCGTGGAGTTAAAAGATAAAGAATCACACACAAAGTGGGAGTTGTCACAGCTGCTCTTTGCTGATGACACTGCTCTTGGGAGATTCTGAAGAGAAGTTGCAGAGATTGGTGGATGAATTTGGTAGGGTGTGCAAAAGAAGAAAATTAAAGGTGAATACAGGAAAGAGTAAGGTTATGAGGATAACAAAAAGATTAGGTGATGAAAGATTGAATATCAGATTGGAGGGAGAGAGTATGGAGGAGGTGAATGTATTCAGATATTTGGGAGTGGACGTGTCAGCGGATGGGTCTATGAAAGATGAGGTGAATCATAGAATTGATGATGGAAAAAGAGTGAGTGGTGCACTTAGGAGTCTGTGGAAACAAAGAACTTTGTCCTTGGAGGCAAAGAGGGGAATGTATGACAGTATAGTTTTACCAACGCTCTTATATGGGTGTGAAGCATGGGTGATGAAGGTTGTAGCGAGGAGAAGGCTGGAGGCAGTGGAGATGTCATGTCTGAGGGCAATGTGTGGTGTGAATATAATGCAGAGAATTCGTAGTTTGGAAGTTAGGAGGAGGTGCGGGATTACCAAAACTGTTGTCCAGAGGGCTGAGGAAGGGTTGTTGAGGTGGTTCGGACATGTAGAGAGAATGGAGCGAAACAGAATGACTTCAAGAGTGTATCAGTCTGTAGTGGAAGGAAGGCGGGGTAGGGGTCGGCCTAGGAAAGGTTGGAGAGAGGGGGGTAAAGGAGGTTTTGTGTGCGAGGGGCTTGGACTTCCAGCAGGTATGCATGAGTGTGTTTGATAGGAGTGAATGGAGACAAATGGTTTTTAATACTTGACGTGCTGTTGGAGTGTGAGCAAAGTAACATTTATGAAGGGGTTCAGGGAAACCGGCAGGCCGGACTTGAGTCCTGGAGATGGGAAGTACAGTGCCTGCACTCTGAAGGAGGGGTGCTAATGTTGCAGTTTAAAAACTGTAGTGTAAAGCACCCTTCTGGCAAGACAGTGATGGAGTGAATGATGGTGAAAGTTTTTCTTTTTCGGGCCACCCTGCCTTGGTGGGAATCGGCCAGTGTGATAATAAAAAAAAATAAAAAATATTATTATTATTATTATTATTATTATTATTATTATTATTATTATTATTGTTATTATTATTGTTATTATTATTAATATTAAAGCTGTAGAACTGTTGATGGATCCTCAAAGGGTTAAAACATAGATCTGTGTAAATGCCACTGGCATCAGTAACATAGTTTTAAGTAAGAGACAGTGAAAGAGTTAAACCTTTAAATGCTTATGAAACCATGAAGAATTATTTGTGGTAAGGCTTCTGTTAACTGATCAGATTTTAGGTCTTTAAGAATGAATGGCATGATGTGCATTACATAATTTGTTCACACAGATTATGTAATGTACAGATTTTTGTAGCGAAAGAGCTCTGCTACAATAGGAGTATTGAGGGGGAAGTTGAAGAGATGCAGCTACAGAATTGTACTCCAAACAATTGAACTGAATCAGTGATTGTTTAGATTAATTACATAAAGGCGTAGTACAGGTCCTCCATCACAAATCCGGCATCATTTGGACCTGTAGTGTGCTGGATTACCGAGTTTGCCGGATTACAGAGTGGTGAGGTGAGAATACACTTAATAAAATTAACCAACTTGACTTGTACAAAGTTCATTAAACATCGGCAAAAATCGAACATTTCCACTACTTTGAGCTCAATTTCAAGGTACTTTTCATCATGAAAGCAATCAAAATCATGTCTATTTCTGTAATATATCTTCCATTCTATCAAATGAGTCCAAAAAAATGAAAATACAACTATAAAACCATACGAAAATATACTGCAAAGAGGCGGCTAATGGCTGAGAAGTGAACTCCCTTATTTATCGTCCGTCTGTTTTATTTTTGTTGTACATTAAGAAGCATCTTTCCATCATACATTGCCCAAGTTTCAATGAGATAGCCCAACAAACAACCGAGAAAAAAAAATATTTAACAAAAATCATATATGGCAAGCCCAAGCCAGGTACTGGAAATAAGTCACTTTGTCTGACTTTTCTGGGTTATCCTAGGTTCTCTATACATACACTGCTATGTATGATAATCTATGTAACTGTATTTGTGTATACCTGAATAAACTTATTTACTTCTAGTCAGTCAACTGAGTACAAGAAAACCACCCATTCACTTATTTCAACTACCCAAATAAAGGGTAAAAATTGGCTTTTTGGCCAATTTCACACAAAATTTCAACAGACCCAAATTTTCAAAATGGGGGTCCAGAATAACAATGCGACTTCCCCTGGCACAAAAATAACATTTTCTTGTTTCATTGTCAGGGCCCCAGGCCCCTCTTTTTTTCTTTTTCTTCAATTTGGAATTTTTATACACAAAAAAATATTGATTTACTGTTAGCAGACTGCTACTTTTTGTAATAATTGTATAAATAAGTCAACCCATTTTGCTGCGTATTGGAATTTTGGGACTGGCGGGGGAAGGTTTGGATGGTGACATTTTTGTTTATTTGAGCTTCGAAAAAATAAAACATTTCGCTACGTGAGTGAAATTTTAAAAGGTATTTTCATCATGAAGCAATCAAAATCAATTATTTCTTAAAATATCTTTCATTCTATCAAAAAGAAACCGAAAAAAATGAGATTTTACCCAAAAAAACCTAGGGAAAAATATACCCTATCGGCCGCTAATGGGTGAGAAAGGGGAAATCCACTATTTTGATCTGATTTTTTATTTTTTGGTGTACATTTAAAAAGTACTTTTCCATCTACATTGCCCAAGTTTTAAAAAAATAACCCACCAAAACAACTGAGAAAATTTTTAAAAAAAAAACAGTTAATGTTTATTTATCTGCATGTACAAGGATCAGGCCCAGCTGAGATCGTGACAATACTTATAGAAAGTACCTTTTTAGAATATTTCAAGCAAATTAGGTCAGTGTCCCCCGGATAACACCCACACTGTCCCCAAAAACCCAGGCCCCCTTTTTCTGGTGATAAACAAGACAAAAAGGTGTAAAGAAGCATGCCCCAAAGTTACACCCTGGCTGGGCATCGAATATTTACCAAAAAAATTATGGCTAAAACCAAACCAGGTACTAAAATAGCCCACGTTTACTTTTTTGGGGTTTTCTAGGTTCTCTACACATATGCGCTATGTGTGATAATCTTATAGAAAAAAACTTTTTTGTTTTTGGTTTTGGTGCAGTATGATGTATTCCATTAGCCCTGTTCTTACTCAGTTTTCTCTAAAATAAGCCCCCAGACAGAGATGGAGAATGGTTTTGTTTTTCCAATTTTTTCTTCCTTCTCGAATGCCGGTTTATCCCCAAAAATTTTTTTTGGGTTGTAACATGTTTTATGTTATTTATATTGTTATTTTGTCATACTAGATCAATTGTGATAGGCAAATAAGCTGTAGTGTTGATATTAGCGTAATAATAAAGCATATTCTCCTGCATCATGAGACTGAGCTCATGGCAACCGACAGTGGCTTCAAAGCCACCTTATCTTTAATGGATAATGTACTGTGTAGGTGCTTTACATAATGAGAAGCATTTCTTTTATTCATTGGAACCATGGCTAGGGCTAAAAGTAAGCAGGTTATAACAATAAATGGAGAAAAAGAAATTGGAATGACTTATGCAGCAAGTAGCTCTACCAAAAAGTGCCAGCAGGTTGGTGTGGCGACCCTGGAAATTTGAAATTATGCTAGCCAAAATTAGTGCCGAATAACTGAAGGAACCGAATAACTGATTGCCGGATTTACGATGGCGGACCTGTATTGAGCATTATTTGTTTTTAATTTTCAGGTGGTAGAGAGAATGCAAATAAGTTTTTTCTTGTAACTGTCAATTTCTTATTTTACAGAGATCATCGAACAGTATTAGTTGGAGATGCCAGAGGCCGAGTATTTTCTTGGAGTGTACCTGACCAGCCAGGACGGGCAGTTGCAGACCACTGGGTGCGAGATGATGGAAGTGACGCTTGTGCCAATTGTCAGGTTAAATTTAGCATCTATGAGAGGCGTCACCATTGTCGCAACTGTGGTCACCTCTTTTGTTCAAGGTAATTTTTTAAAATTTCTAAATTTTCCCTAAGAGTTTTATAAGAGTTGAGCTACATGCATTGTAAACAAGAGAAAAGTTAAATACAGGTACAGTACAACACCAACTTACTGACATGGGATTGTTACACACGTTTTTATAGTCCAGACAAACTTAAGTCTACTCTTTGCCAAAATAATTTGCTTGCCGGTGACAGATGCATTATATGTCAGTGCTTACTTCACTTACATTGCTTACACGGCACTTGGTGGTGATCTATTGATTGGTCTGATCTTGGTATATTTTAATAACAACCCTAGCTGTGGGGGACTAGTGTTTAGCTTTGCAGCTCCAGTAAAATTAAAAAATTTACCCACTTTGTGAGTGATTGTACCCAACCAACACAAGTAGGAGTCCACAAGGAAGCGTCCTTGGACTACTCTTTATCATCTACATCACAATGATCTACGAAGGCATCAAAGCCTACTCAAACCCATATTATTTGCAGATGACACTACATATGTCTTTTCCCACCCTAACAAGTCATACTAGCAAACACAGTCAATGCTGAATTACAGTAAATATCTGCTTGGATGAGGACTTACAAATTACCCTGAACTCAGATAAAACCTTATTTCATTCAGTTTGGAAACAAAGTGCAAATGATCCCAATTAACATAACGCTAAATGGATTATCAGTCTCAAGACACAGAGAGGAAAGTTCCTAGGTATCCACCTGGACAGTTAGCCTTATGTTCTCGGACACACTTACAAACAAATCACCAAGAAAATCTCCAAGACTGTAGGCAACTATCAAAGATAAGGTTCTTTGTTCCAACATCAGCTCTCCTGGCACTGTACATTCACTCATATACCCTTATCTTACATATGGAATTTGGTACCATGGGCGATCAATCTGATCCCACCCCCCACCCCCCTAATAACCCAAGAAAGGCAGCAAGTTTTGATTTATAACAAATTCTCTCTCCCGCCAGCTTACTCCACACAAATTTTCAAAAAGTCTGAATCTGCTCAAACATTAGAACATCCATACTTATTCAATGGAATGCCCTACTAATTCACAGTACAATGCACACAAATATAAACCACTAACTCTAACTTCTCATCACCATCATAAACAGGACACATGTCCAAAACACATTGACAAGATCTCTTTTTGATTTACCTCTTTTCCATACAACACTGCGTAATAAAACTATATGCAACATAAAGTGCCCCAAAATATGGATTTCTTACTCTGAAGATATTGATATGTAAACAAGTACTGGAAATCAATTTATGACTCTTCTTAAAAAGCCACTTAATAAACCTAGACTAAATGTAAAAACTCAGAGTACCCACACTTACTCACTATGCAATAAGATCACAGTTAACAGGTGATTTCAGAATATGCAAAACAACCCACTTGAAAAATTAGAGAAATTCCAAGCGCTTTCGTGACTACTCACATTATCAAGGAACTATGAATGTAAGGCATCCAAGGAAGCTAGATAAGGGGGTCGGGCAGACAACTCAATATCAGGATCCCACAACGGTTAAACACGTGACGCGCGGACGAGCCTACTTGGATAGGTCCTTGGCACAACTCACCCACAATATATTTCTACCAAGAAATAAGAAATTTTAAAGGATTATTTGTCCAGTGTATTATTAAATATCTTCCCAAATTCTATAATTATAAATGGATCTAATTTATATAAACCATAGGAATATTCAATTTATTGTCAAAACTGTTTTTTGAACAAGATTCAATTATATTTGTCGACCATGGACTTGCTTGATACTAATTTCTTCAACTTTTTGAAAATCAATTGGATGGTTAAAATCCCTTACATGAATAATAGTGACATTTGGAATTTCTTGTCCAGTTCTAATGCATATATTTATGTTGTTTTTAATCTAGTTCGAGATTTTTACCAGTTTTTACCGTAATAAATTTATCGCAATTTTACAAGAATCTTATACACACATCCATCAGCATATTGGGGGGAATTCTTTATCAAATGTTTTTTTAATGTATCATGATTTTGAATACAACTTTAACATTAAATGTCTTTAAGAAGAGATGCATATCAATCCAAGTTTTATGGGTAAGGGAGAACAACATTTTTTTGTTGAACTCTGGCTGGTTGTCCCTTTTTTGGATAGTAAAAAAGTATTTTCAAGCAACTTTAAAAGAATTTATCAATTACATTTTTGGGTATTTTAAATCATTACCTATTTCTAATTTTTGGATATTTCCTCATCTATGAACTCAGGACTTACAAATTCGTAAGCTCTCAAAAACATTGATGAGAAAAACAGACCAGTTTGACTCTATCTTGATGCGGGAATAATAGTGACATAGTGAACAGTTATTTGTTGTTTTCTGGAAAATTTTAAATTTGAATTCATTATATACCCTTTGATGTTTTAATTATTAAGGGTAATAATGAATTCGAATTTAAAATTTATGAAAACCACAAATAAAATGTTCCTATGTCCAATATTATTTCCTCGCCTTCAAGATAGAGTCCAACTTGTCTGTTTTCTCATCACTGTTTTTGTGAGCTTTACGAATTTGTAGTCCTGAGTTCATAGATGGGGAATTATCCAAAATTTATGCAAATAGGTAATGATTTTAAAACCAAGAAATGTTAATTGATAAATCTTTTAAAGTTGCTAGAAATAATTTTTACAATCCAAAAAAGGGACAACCAGCCTTATTCAACTAAAAAATATGTTGGTTCTCCTTACTTACCATGAAAACTTGGGGGGGGGTTGATATGACTTTCTTATAATACTTTTAATATTAAAGTTGTATTCAAAAATCTTGATACAGTAAAAAAATTCTTTTGATAAAAAGAATTCCCCCCAAAATGCTGATGGATGTGTGTTATAAGATTCATTTGTAAAATTTGCGATATAAAGTTTATTACGGTCAAACTGGGTTAAAAATCTCGAACTAGTTAAAAACCAACATAAATATAGCATTAGAAATGGACAAGATTCCAATGCCTATTTATTCATGTAAGGGATTTTAACCATCATTTGATTTTCAACAAAGTGAGAAAGTAGTTATCAAGACAAGTCCATGGTCGACAGGATATATTGAATTCTTGTGTTCATAAAGCAGTTTTGACAATAATATGAATATTGCCTTTGGTTTATATAAATTAGATCCATTTATAATTAATTGAATTTGGGAAGAATTTAATATACAATGGACAAATATAATCTTTAAATTTCTTATTTCTTGGGTTGAATAGTTGTGGGGTGAGTAGTTGTGGCCAAGGACCTATCAAGGTTGGCTCGCGCGCGTTCACGTGTGAACCGTGGTGGCGATCTTGATAGTGAGGTCAGTGCCGGCCAAGACCCCTTATATAGTTCCTTGGATTGCCTTTACTTTCATAGTTCATTGATAATGTGAGTGATCACGAAAGGCCGCTGGGAATTTCTTCTATTTTTCTTCAGAGATGGGTGTTTTGCTTACTCACCTATGTTACTCCTAATCATAAACCTAAACAAATCTCTTTGTCCTTTTATCCATTGTTGACAGGAATATGATTTTGAATCATTGTTTTCACAAAAAGCATTTTCGAATATAAATATATCATTTGTATTTTATACAAATTTTGATTCATTTATAATTAATATTCTAATGTACACTATGAAATAATTACTATCTACTGTACAACTATGATATAATCCTTTAGTGTCTAGTGTCAGACTGTAAGCCATTAATGTTAAGTTGGCCCATTATGCTAGGCATAATAGAGGGCCCTCCATCTTTGCATTGCAACCCACTTTTTTAACCCTTGACTGTTTCCGACGTATAATTAGTCTTAACGACCAACCTGTTTTGAGTTATTTTTTACGCACCAAATTCTAGCAGGCTTCAAATCAAGGAGCGAAAGGCCTGGTAGGCCCCTAATGAGAGAGATATGGGTCTCAGTGGTCGGTGATGCACCCTGTGAAAAAATCTGGGGAGCCCAGCGGCTGCATTGTGGAACGCCATCTTGTTAGTCCATTTGCTCCATGCCTCTCGGTATAAGAAGTTCCTCATCCTCGGCGGCATTGGAGGTCTTTTTGTTCCATGTGATAGCTCTTACAGCGATGAAAATGTCAGTGACAGTGATTCCAGGGTTTTGAAAGAGGAGTGTTACCGGGAGGAAAGTGCCCAGGATAACGTTAATTAGTGATGAAAACCCAGTTGAACCCACAACCTTCACCTCTGGGCTGGCGGCTTGTTCCGTTCACGTTCGCCTGTACCAGGACGACAAGAGGAAAACTCATTTGGTCATGTACACACACCCAGATGTTAGCAGTGATAGTGATAGTGATAGTGATTTCAAGGTATTGAAAGCAGTTCTAGTGACAGTGAGAGTGGAATATTCCCCAGTGAAGCAGCAGTATGTACGACGTAGAATGCTGTTGGTAGTGTTTCATTATGTTGTTCCAAGGGGGAGGAGAAACTCTGGGAGCAACATCCCGTGGCCCTACACCACGACCTATAGTGAGGATACGATATTGTAAACGATGGGTATGATTGATGTGAGTGATGGAGCAGTCAGTGGTGGTGATAGTGAGGGTCGGCAAGGCCCATGTGGCACCATCAAGCGGGCCCACGCTACTTCCCACGCTGCTGACTCTGACCACAACAACCAGCCTCACCCTACCCCACACTCCCACAAACATGCACTACCACAACCTGGCAACCACAACCACAACCACGGTATAATATCCAGACCCCACCAGCAGACCGCATCTGGGATTGGAGGACGGTGACGTGTTTGTTCCCAGTCCCCATGACTTTGATGAAAACAAAGTGGGAATAAAGCCTCTTATCCAACTTGGGAACAATTCCCAGTGAATGGACTGCCTTTGAGTTTATTCTTCGATGATCCACTGATGGACACATTGTAATGGAATCAAACACATACTGTGATTACACCATTGGCAAATAACAAATTCTCTCACCTAAATCTCGGCTACACAAGTGGAAGGAGGACAACTATGGCA